AATACGACCAGCTTGCAGAAGATTATCAGTTTTCGGGGACCTAATTCAGCGCGGTCTGCTGCTGTTAGAAGTAGTGCTAATTTACAAAAGTAGTTTGCTTGAGTCGATTAAGATTGTTACCGTTTATAAGGGCGCCGTTTCGGCTTCATCGCCTTCGCTAGAGCCTGAAAGAGCCAGAGGCAGCCAGAGGCATTTGCTCCCTCAAACACCTTAACAAAACTGAAATTTCGAGATTCTGGCCAACCATCTACCTACCTTGATCTTCGCCGGGGTGACGCGCGATCGGCCATCCAGATTGTAGCAATGCTTCAAGTGAGAACTGGCCCGCCACTTCTCGACTCGGAATGAAGTTCCGCTTTTTCACTCGCTCTGTGTGACGATAGAGGCCATAACGTGCCAGTACGGACTCTAGCCTGTCGATTTGCATCACTTCCAAAGAGTGGGCGGAGCTTCCTCTAGTGGGCGGAGCCACTTGTTACAGCCTAAAAACGAAAACTCGGAAGAAAATTGAAATTCCACGAAAAACACAAGTGGGCGTGGCCAGAGGGGCGGGGCTTAGTGTGCTAGTGTATAAATGCACTATGGCTATTAGTATATTCGTTTTGTGAAGATTGAATGTGAAAAGAACGACGTCGAAAAAAGTTATAAAATTCAAAACTTGCGTAACTTCATTGTGAAGTGGGCGGAGTCAGATCTGTATCGGTACCAATCCTTTTCAGTTGAAGTGTGTGTGCAACTAGCAAAAGTGAAAAAAAAGTCGAAGAAGCAGATTTCATAGAACATTTTGGAAAACTGACCGCGCTGAAAAGTGGGCGGGGGTGTTGGGGCGGGGCTTGCAGCAGTACCTAGTGTGGTATAGTTATCAACTGCCTATTGTAAGGGGTGTGTCCGATTTGATTTGAAAAGTGTCCGATTTGATTTGAAAAGTGTCCGATTTGGTTTGAAAAGTGTCCGATTTAAAGTGAAAATGGTATATATCGGCAAAGATAGGAAGAGGGCGCGAGTTCACGGGTAATTGTCACACACTACTCTTTCCTACTCATTTTGGGGTCTCTGGGTGGAGACTTCTGGAATGTTTTTCGCGCAGTGATCTCTGGCTCCTGCGCTAGAATGGATACAGTTAGCTCGAACTCGACATCCTTGTGATACTGAAGTCCCGATTTACGCACATGAGGGCCAGTTAGGATAATCTTCAGACGTGCATTGAGCTTATACCCATTCCCTTCCTGTTTTTGTTTCTTACGTCAAACAGTGAACAGCGCGCGCGCTCCTATAGCTTAGAATTCAGTTTTCAATCTAAATGTAGCAGAGGTATTCCAACAATGGTCCGGCCATCCCGCGCTCCCATTGTTCAATGCACTCGTTTTTGCATCATTAGAAGTAAGCCGTACTCACTAAGATTCCTATGAGTTTGCTGACTTCTTTTTGTAGTTTAGGGTTCTCACCCTACCGATGCACGCGGAACAGGATTCATATAGGTTCCCGATCCCACAATGAAGACAAGTAAAGCATTTTATAAGGTCACCATGAATATGGTAAATGTTGAGATGACTTGCGCGATTTAATTCTAGCTGTAGCTGCTTTTTTCGCATCATTTCTCCTCTGTTCGTCTTGTATGTTCGGTAGTCTTTTCGATGAGCCTTTTTTACTGTGTCTTTTGCTCTCCCTGTTTAGTTTTTCAACAAAGTTTGGATTAATTCTCGTTCCTCTTGCGCGCGTGTGTTGTGTCATGATTTCTTTGTCCTTCTTTTGGTGTGTCATTTCACTATTTCTCCTCATTTTCAATTCGTTTCATTTCTAGCTTACTTCTAATTCTATTTTCATTCGCATTTTTTTCTTGGTCTATTCCTTGTATAGTCGTAAGTTGTTTTACTTAGATTGAAAACCTCCAATTCTGTTTTTGTCTTTTCTTTCTTCTTTATTTTAAATATCCTATTTTATACTCCCCTTTAGCCTAATTTGTAATTAATCTGTAAAAAAATGAGCGAGCTTCATTGTTCTTTTATTTAAGTGTGTCAGTTTAATCAGATGAAAAATTGTTGCTTTGCAATATTTAAATTCGTTTGGCTTGTCGACTGTCGTTAGATTTAAGCACTTCTTATATACTTCAATATGCAATGGCAGTCACGTCTTTGTTGTGTTATATTACATATTTTCGTGACCTTTATCGATTTTCTCTTAATTTAGATATTGTTCTGTTTTTATATTTCTTCTTCAGATGAAATATTAATGTTCTGCATTCTCGTTTTATTGCGTTCGTCAAATCTATTCACTTCTTATAAATTCGTTGTTTGATATAAGTTTGTTTAGTACGGAACTCGGTATGAGTTGCCATGTTTCTCATGAGTACTTTTCTATACCTGCCTAGTTATCACATATTTCAGCGAAATCGTCCATATTGTAAAAGAGTCTCGTATTGTCTCAATCAGTCTATTCTGCTTGTATTGCTTGGGCTATAATTCTTGCTCCATTCCGTCTTCTACACTCACCGCCACTAAAAAAGCTCGGCGGAGGATTTCATTTATCTAAATAAATTCAAAAAAGTATTGGCTAGTGGGGCAGATTTCGCATTTTATTAAGTACCTTCCTGCGTGAAATTGGTTCGATAAAATGGAACTTTGTGATTCCAAATAAAAAGAGTGTTAAAAAATGGAAACTTTTTCGGCTTCATAAGAAGATAAGATGTAATCAAACATATAGTTGAAGGCTTGAGAGTGCCGGAGCCCGTTGTTCTCGAAATCATCACTTTAGATACATTATAAACAACAACTTCTCTAGTCATCAACCCCAGGGGGCTTCTCTATCTCTCCGAGTGAAAATGAATACTTCAGAACATAGCACAGTGGACGCTTTAGAGAAGTCACTGGACAAAACCTGACTCGAATTTGTTCATATAGTCCCTGGCATGCGCGCAGTAGAAGATAACACGCGTTTCCGACCAATGTGATTTCGTAACTGGAGGTTGCCAGACAGAGCTAGCCATATAGCCTCTGCCGTCCTGTCCGGTACAACCCGGGCAGCGCTGTTTGTGTTGGGTGTTGAAAGAAACAGGCCTACTTGAGGGTACCGTGTCCGGGTTGAATTCCCTGTTTTGTTACCATTAATTACTTTGTTAGCCATGACTTGATCCCAGTATAACCTCCCTGCTTCCGCACCCATTTTCTCTTGGATTTAGTTGTGTTGTGGCACTACATTTAAGCTTTTCAAATTGCCTTCTTCTCTTCAGTGCTCGCGTTCAGAGCTTTTCTAATTGGCTTTCTTCTCTTCAGGCCTCTGCGTTCGCCAGCTTTGGGCGTGTGCCAAGCAATCGCCAGCATACGAGCGTCCGTCAGCAATAGCGGCTATAAAACTATGAATATCGGCCTAGCGAGCGCCAGCTTCTGGCTGCCTCCATCAGCGACCAGGAGGTATGGGGAAGTAGGAGGTTAGTAGACTGCTGGTAGAGTGTGGGGAAGTAGGAGAGGGCAGACAGCTGGATTAGGCGTCATGAGATAGCGGTGTGTGCAACCGCACCATACACCTGTAAAGCGCATAATTATGCAGTTTGATATACAGCATTGTGTAGTATAGGTGCGGTTCTACATGCAGCAGCTTCACGACGCCTAATTCAGCAGTCTGCACTCTCATACTTCCTCATACTCTCTACTGCTGAACGCTGATGGATGTTGGCGTTGCTAGATTGATGTCTATACCTTCCCATGCTGGCGCTGTTTAACGCTCGAAACGCTGATGGTCGGTGGAGGATGCTGCCGCAAAGTATGAATGCAGCCTTCTGTGTGTTATTTAAACACCATTTCCCGGTTAGCGAAATTGTCATATTCATCGCTGGACTTGCAGACGTCTCCGTATAAGCAAACAGAAAATAAAAGTAATTTGCACCAAAACCCTGCCAAACCGAGTGTTGCGAGACGGTGAAATTTGATGCAATTAAACTTGAAGTATTACTCCACGACGAAGCTCTGAAAAACCTCTGAATTGGCGGAGCCAGCGGCTTTGCTGCGAAACGTGCCTAGTGATGAAGCGACAAGTTATTTCCTTTTTTTATCACCCATTTTTGATGTGGTTTACTTATTTTCAGGTCGAACTTCTACCACTACAGAGACATACCTCAATGTTACACAGGATTCTTTGATGGATGCTCATAATTCCACAACTCTATCGACTCTAACCACAAAAGCTACGATTCAAACTACAAGTGTGACCCCAGTTTTTGAAACTACGACCACACGTGTCGGAACCACAACCACTGTCATCTGGTAACTTTAAAATTCATGCAATAGCTATCTTATTTTGTTGGGAGTACTTTATTTGAGGACTCCCAGTTCATCACAAGCAAGTAGCAATATTCCGGAGAAAAGACTTCCTGTAGTGGAGCAAGTCACACATGAGCGTTTCGCTAGTATTTCTTCTTCGGTTATCCTAGCTTTTTATATTATGGCTTTCATTTCCTGCTGTATTCCTTGCACAACTCGGAGCGATACGAAATTCATGAAGGTTCGTCGTAGGTAAATTTTGGACTCCACTAGCATCGGAGTACAACATGAGGCAGCGTAATGAGGAGATTCCGCGTATAAAGAGAGTGAGCGATTCGAGAGATGCGACAAGGAAAGTATAGGTATCGATCTCTGGCCTTTTGGGAGATCGAGTAATTTGGCGGTTTGGGAAACACGGCGTTTCGAGCGATTCCGCGGGGATTGGATGGGTATTGATCGGCGCCCGCCGTTAGCTAGCAATTGTGGAGATTCGGGCGACGCGGGATTACCGAGTCTATCAAACCGTCTCAGGGCACTTGTCAACCGAGAAGCCTCTCCTCTCTTTCCTTTTTTCTTCCTCCCTCCTTCTTTTCCTTCCTTCCTTCTCTGATCCCTCCTCCTTTACCTTCTCCCTTCAACTACTGGACTGGTAGATGCCTCGTGAAAATAACCCTGGACCCTCGCAGCGAGAGCACGTCTGGTTGACAACAGCCCCGTAACCCTATCAAAACGTCGAATCGCCGATCGAAACCCATTCACTCCTTTGATGCGCTACCGTCCGAAGCGGAGGGTCGCCGAATCGCCGATTCTTCCCAATCAACAAATCGATACCTGTTCTTCCCTCGTCCGGCCTCTCTCAGATGCCGAATCTCTTTAGTCACAACGTATGAACGCTGCCTAAGCTACGATGACTGCAGTATGCTTTACTTTTTTTTACTTGATTTTTTTCCGTTTGCAGTTATTCGATCCATCGGTGTCTGGTTTGACTAGAGGGTGTCGTATTCGGCTAACAACGGTGCAGACAACCGCTTCTTTCACAGAAGGTAAGTTTGCGTTGGGAAGTTTTGTTCATGTTGTCTGTTATGTTCCGATCTTTATTTTACTCGGTTCGTCTGCTCACAGGCCTTGTTGAAATGGCTGTTATGCTTTTATCTCTGGATCGTAACGCCTCCTCAAGTCTGTTCCTGCACTGCGCTATCATCACAGTTACTCGAACTTTGGTTGTAATGTGGTATGTTTTGGCTATTTTCCTAAGTTCACATTCTCAGTGAAGTTACGCAGCGATGTGCGAGGCACGCATGTGTTCACGGTTGCCTTTGGTGGCTTCACTGAAATAGTATAAATGCTTGAAGACAGACCTCGCGAATTCGTTGGCACTTGGAAATTATAAGTGTGGGTGTTAGTGACCTGACAGTGAAGTAGAATACGAAATAAACGGCTAAAAACACAAAAAAAAACGATCGCGTAACACGGCGAGTACCTCGGACTTGCTGATTTCATGCCAGAAAACCAACGCCTGTGTGCGTTCCCTGGCCACCGATCGTTTCTTAACATCGTCCAGCTCCAAATGCCGTACACTCCTCTAAACAACACGAGGAAACAGCGTAGAAGTAAAGTTGTAGAATAGACTAATTGTGGAAACCCTTAGTGGAAAACTGCGACCACCGTGAGGCAGCGAACAGTTGCACCAATCAAACTGCGTCATCGATTAAAGACAGCCCCCGCGCTCAAGTAGTACATGGTCGTCCTTCCTTGTGCAGGTAGTTCAGCCCCCAAGCTAGATACTATCCCACTCTCGCGACTCCACAGTGAGCGAGGAGCGAGCTACAGCCGCTCAAAGTTCTAGTTCTAACGCCCGCTCAGTTGGACCGCCCTACTTGCTAGCTGCCCTCTGACGGAGAGCCGCTCAGTTGTTCTTTGTTGGGACGGCGGGCATTAATCGGAACTGCATGTACTTTTTGCTGACCGCGCTCGTGCCCATAAATAATTCTGCTCTCCTTCATCACATTTTATTCATTGGGAGCACATACAGTCAACTGCAACCCATCTCGTAAAACGCGTAAAAATCACGAATGATGCAATTTCTGTGGTGCAAAAGCTCGACATGCACCAAAAGCTGCACACTTCACGTAACCCCAAATTCGGACGCCAGGTTTTTGAATTTTTCCTTTTTTCAAGTGTTTTCGTTCGTGTCTTTGTTGTTTTTCATATTCTTTTCTTTGAATTGGATGTTGTCCACTACTGGGAAATCGAGGACGCCGCACGCGCGCGCGCTGTAACTGTAAGGGGAGCAGTTTTGTTTTGTGGTGTTCTTTAGGGCTCTTGTTGCTTTTTTCCTTCGCTGAGGAATCACTTATCAGCTACTGTATCATAATTGAACATCAGCTATCCATGGCACTTTTATCGCGGGAGCTGTCTTTAAGTCAGCTGACCGGAAGCATCAGCACTTATCGATTGATACGATTCCCCCCCCCCCCTTTCCACAAGAAAAAAATCAAACTATCGGAATAAATTAAGTCTTACAAATACGACCGCCCACGACCCCCGCCCCTCCCCGAAACGCCAAACGTACAACCCCCCCCCCCATGGGTTTGACACAACGATGCTGTACCCTGCTCCCAACAGCGAGCCAGTACGAACCTCGCTTGTTGGGAATCCACAATGATGATGTGCCCTGTGCTAGAAGCTATATGGCACCGCTCAAGTCATAGGGTAAGTACCGGACTTCAAGCTCCACTTTCCTTTTCCTTCCTAATTGTTGTCATATGCAAGCCCCCTCCCCCATACCAACAAACATTTTTATCTCTCCAAGACTATATAGTTGTTACCAGAGTCGTCTAGTAGGGTGAAAACGCCAGTTTCACACTGGCTGTCTCCGTGATTCATTGTATAGGCCAATTCGCATTCAGAAGACCCGCAATCCCAAATGAAACTGGAATGCGTGCAGTGTCGTACATAGTGGTTCCCCGACAGCGAAAATTTTGTTTCCCCAGCTTTTTGCTTCTGTGAAGCTTCACACGGTTCTGACAACCCTTAGTTTAGTGAGATAATCTTCGACGTACGCCGCGACATGGTCAGCGATCATTTATAGGTCCCACTCGACCCATCCAACGAAGGTCCAGAACTGTCCTACTGTTACATTCATTCTTCTTCTACTATTTTAAGGACGTTTCAGAGTCCTAGGTTCTTTTCCGAGCCTTACTATTTTTGAAAACCAATCCGGCATCGAAGTGGTAGCAGCGCGCTCTATGGCAATATTCTTCAAAAATCTGTCCCGAAAACGAGTTTAAACAAGCAGGTCACAGAAGGTGAAGTAGGACTGACCGAAAGTTTCTTAGGTCAAATGAGCAGACAAAATTTGACAAAAACATTAGAAAGCGCGCGGCGAGTGTACGTCGATTGGGGCGATCTTTCCACTGTCAACTTGTTAAGGGACGTTATGCTATGTGTCATACAGGTAGACCAAC